TTACCGGAGTTATTATGTCTCGCATGAGTTTATATTCCTTTAAGCTCCCCCCTTTTTTTGTGTTCATGTTCGACTCTTCCAATTTTTCCTGCTTTTTGCCCCATACTTTTGGCAATCTCGGAGAATTCCTTCTTTTGTTTACTTTCTTCTTCTTTGTGTTGCATATCTTCAACTGCCTTCCCACTGATCTGAAATGTCATCTGTATGTTACACACCTGTGTTGCCGCGGGTTCCGCGTTCAGTTTTTGAACACGTTGAACGAGCGTTCAAAGAACGCGGGTGCACGCTCTGAAAGCGAACGCGCAGAGCGCCACCCACGCCCGGGAGGCCCGTCGGGGGCGCCGGGAAGCGGCAACAGTGCTTGGGGGGGTTGTGGGCAGTGTGGGGAGCAGCGGCGGTGCTTAGGGGGGCTGTGGGCCAATGCCCCAGGCAAAACGGGCACAAAAAAAAAACAAGTGTGTGTGGTGAATTTGTGTGTCTGTGTGTGTGTGTGTGTGTGAATGTGTGTGTGTGCGTGTGTGTATGAAAGGTCTTTTTTTCTTTTCGAGAGGGTGGGGGAATCCCCCTAACACGGCTTAGACGGCCCATGCAGGCTATCTGAAGGGTCCTCGCAGCCATGTAGCGCAGACACCCCCACCAAAATCAAGGCAAGCAGTGAATATGTAGTAGAGCACGAGCTGGCCGAATATATACTCAAGATTTGAATTCAGGTTTGTGTTTCAACAGTTATGGGTTGCTCACATAGCTAGGGCCTGTTGGTCTCTGCACGTGACTCTTAGGGCTTGGCTACACTACTCATCAAATGTGCAAAACTAGAATGAATCTTCTGCAGAACATGGAATAATACGCCGCCATATGTTTTGTCTTTTGTGCATGTGGTGAGTAGAGGCCCTTAGGGCCACTGCACATATTTTCTTGTTTTTTTTTTTTCTCATTTTTTTTCCCTTTTTTTTGTTTTTTTTTYTCGTTTTTCTTTTCTTAGGAATATGTGCAGTGGCCCTAAGGGCCTCTACTCACCACATGCACAAAAGACAAAACATATGGCGGTGTATTATTCCATGTTCTGCAGAAGATTGCACATTTGGTGAGTAGTGCAGCCAAACCCTGAGAATCACGTGCATAGACCAACACGGCCTAGACACGTGAGCAACCCATAACTGCTGAAACACATACCTGAATTCGAATTTTGAGTATATATTCGGCCAGCTCGTGCTCTAGTTCATGTTCACTGCCTGCCTTGATTGTGGTGGGGGGGTCTGCGCCACATGGCTGCGAGCCCCCTTTAAATAGCCTGCATGGGCTGTCTGAGCCGTGTTAGGGGGATTTCCCTAGCCCCCACCCCCCCCCCTAAAAAAAAAGGATCCTTCACATATGGCGGGGGG